ATTAGGAAAAAAGAATAACAGATGGGGAGGTGTTAATAAGGAAGCCACTTCATAGGTTCGCCCATCCCCCTGGAGTCCCCAGGCTTTCTGGCATAACCAGTTCTTGAGAGGCCTTCAGGAGGTCAGGAGTGATGAGGTCAGTCTTCTCTCTGGAGGGAGAAGGTTCCACAGAACAAAAGGTCTGTCACTTAGGCCCCGTCAGATGTATCTCTCTAGTTGTCAGCACACAAAATGTACCCATTCTGTGAGATCCGGTGGAATGGGTGGATGAAATCAGGGAAAGGTAGTCCTTCAAATAACCTGGCCTTTGCCATGTAGGACTTTAAGGGTCAACACCAACATTGGGCCTGGAAATAAATTCATGCAGCAATCAGAAACCCATAACTACTCATACTGCTGCGTTTTGCTCCATCTGAAGTTTTCAGATACTCTTCAAGGGCAGCCCCATATATAGTGCATTGCAATAGTCCAACCAGGAGGTGATTAGGGCAAGGACTGCTTGGCCTAGGAATGGGCACGTTTGGTGCAAAATATAGAGTGGTGCAAAGGCCCTCCTAGCCATGACTGCCATGTGCTCCTCAAGCAGGAGTCATGAGGCCTGGAGGTCTCTTAGAGTGCATATAGTCTATTCCTGGCTGTGCAATCCCATAATCAATTAACTTGATTATGGAAGAATTATTTGTCCAAAAAGTAATGGTCTGAAAATTAGGCATTGTTTAGGGTGCCATGGAAATAGGCAGTGTTCCATTGTTATTGTACTATTTTATTGCCAGGGAATGGGAAAGTGTTTCTAGGTGTTTCTGTCTCATGTGCTAAAATAATTTGGCTGGCTGTGTGGATATCATGTACCTTGACTTGGGTGAGTAAGGGGCCATTGTTTCTTGTTCCACCTCAAGCAGCCAAAGTCACCTGGATTAGGAAGATGCATTCCAGCAACTTTATTGATGATTAATCATTGTGGAAAAAAATTTTCTCTTGGCCTGAATGGCCCTGACCATTATTTCAGCCTGAAAATAGAGCTACCATAATTAGCCTGATGACAATATTTACATGCTTGATTTATTCTTTAGAAAGGAAAAACAGCTGGGTAGCCATGTCCAGTTTCTTTCCTCAATATAACTTTCAAAAGAGAGGTGCACTTTTCTCCATTATGGTCATCCAAAGCAAGAAAACACCTGATCTTACTGGACCATTTACAAGCCAGTATAGGTTTCCTAAAGACAAGTATGTAGTCCTTGCCTCATTGATTCTAAGGCTGTTGGTGATGACCTGAATATGTGCAGATTTATTGGGGGGGAAAAAGACATGCATGACTACTTTTTTTCCCCCCCAGCAAATTTAGAATTTCTCTTAAACTGATGATGGTGGTGGCGCAATGGTTAGAATGCAGTACTGCAGGCTACTTCTGCTGACTACGGGCTGTCAGCAGTTCAACAGTTCGATCCTGCCTGGCTCAAGGTTGACTCAGCCTTACATCTTTCCGAGGTCGGTAAAATGAGGACCCAGAATGTTGGGGGCAATATGCTGAGTCTGTAAACCGCTTAAAGAGGGTTGTAAAGCACTGTGAAGCGGTATATAAGTCTAAGTGCTATTGCTATTCTCAGTCTGTTGCAGTCAACCTCACATTATTAGAATAGCCTTGAGTTTATTTTTTTCTTTTAAATACTTTTTGTCATAAGATATCTACCTATTAAATTTCTCTAAAACTTTAGCCTTTGGTGTTAATGCATGTTGCTTGATTTAGGTCAGGGTAGTTAATTTACTGATCTGACATTTTGGACTTCAGCTCCCATCAGCTCCCCTTAACAGGGCTAAATGGCAAGGGGAAATGGAAGTTAAATTTCAAAACATCTGGACATCACGAACTGCCCTCTCCCTTTTTAGTCATTAATAGAAGTGCCAAAGCTGTCTTGAAAAAAACAAGCAACAGTCACCTTGAGGATTTCTCTATATTTTCTGGCTCAAATCCCAAAATTTATATGCAGAATACTTAAAACTGCATACATATTCCTATGCAGGATCATCAAGATTTTTGTATCACTAAATACTGACTCCTTAGAAAACATCTGCTTAAGGAAACAGATGGAGCTAGCAACCTGCATTTAATAGCCTATAGTTATAACTCAAAACAAAATATGGATATTATTTAAGTAGACTATATCAACCATGTGGAAGAGGTGTTCATTCAGATCCCTTCCAGCATCTTCGTGGATGATCCACTTTTTTAATCCTATCAAATTAAAACTGATCACAGATAGACACAGGGCCCTTGTCCAGTGATGGATCTATGCTTTTCCATATACATGCTTGCTATGTAATTGACCTAAATTGCATATTGGAACATGTAATGAATGATCACATCCTCTCAAATGTAAAGTTTTGGTAGAATCACTCTATTAGTACCTAAATGAGCTCTGTCTCTGGAAGCTAAAGATGTTTGTTTTTGCAACATTCAAATAAAAGTTCTTGCAAGTAATAATTTGAACACAACACACATTCCAACGGAGGAGAATGTAGTTCCATCTGCTTCCCGCTGAGTGAATGTTCTAGAAGGAAAGGGAAAACAAACAAGAGAGAGGGAGATTTAAAATATATGGTCCCTCCCACCTGTAGTCCATTTTACTGCATTATTCAACTCAGTTCTTCTACATGGATAAGCCAGGATCTAGCTTTAGGTCAATGAGCAAAGAAGAAATGAATGATACATAGATGTTTGGAAATGGATGTCCATTCTAACATTTTGCAGAATAAATAGTTGGATATACAAATTTCAGGATGGAGTTAACTGGAAGTGAAATCAGCAGGTTGTACACCTATTGATTTGATTTGATACTTCACTAACCATAAAGTCTTATGATTAAAAACGACAAAGAAAAACACAAGATGGGTCCTATGCATTGTCTATGGAGATTATCAGTCATCCAGGTCATAATTGTCCCAAAGGTGTTTTTCAAAAGGCAACTAGACTTTCTGGTTTTCCTTGTAGATGTTTCGTTTCTCATCCAAGAAGCTTCATCCAAGAAGTCAGAACTGAAGATGCTTCTTGGATGACAAACGAAACGTCTTCAAGAAAAAAACAAAGTCCAGTTTGCCTTTTGAAAAAGCATCTTTGGGACATCCTATGCAGTGGTGAAATCTGAACTGGTTTATTACCAGTTCGCGGGCCACACCTGTGCACCAAGCGCAAGTTGCCCATGCACAGTTGGCACCAAGCACACGCTGCGCACTCATGCACAATACACACCAAAAGGAGGCTTGGGAACCTAAGTAGAACAGCGGGGAGGGATCAGCGGTGGCGCGCAATCTTGGGAATCTTTTAAAAAACTTTTTAAAAGCATTTTTTACTACCGGTTCGGGCGAATAGGTAGTAAAAAATGCTTTAAAAAAGTTAAAAAAAAATGTTCTGACGATTACAGCTCTGCCACGCAATTGTCAGAACCTCTTTTTTTTTTTTTGCTTTTTAAAAGCATTTTTTACTACCTATTCGCCCGAACCGGTAGTAAAAAAATGCTTAAAATGTAAAAGAAAAGTTCCAACAATCAGCTAGCGACGCGCGATCATCGGAACTTTTTTTTTTTTACTTACTAAAGCATTTTTACTACCAGAGAACTGGTAGTAAAAAATGCTTAAAAAGTAAAAAAAATAAGTTCCGATGATAGTGCGTCGCTCAGCTGATCATTGGAACTTTTTAAAAACATTTTTTTACTACCAGTTCGGCAAACCAGTAGAATTTTTTATTACCGGTTCGGGCGAATTGGCCCGAACCGGTAGCATTTCACCCCTATCCTATGCATTGGCTGCAGCACCAGCTCTACTCTTTACCGTGGTATGCAACAGACATTGGATGGAAGAACAGGATGATGATAAACACAGCCAGCAGGTTGTGTCCAAAGTATGATAATACCAGTCACTTTTGTGGTCATGTCATTCTTGGCTGAAGTTTCCAATACTGGCGTATAGTATAAATTGCCAAGAAAGAAAGAGATATTACTTTTGACAAGTAAGCAGCTGAATTGCAATTCCATGAAACAGTTAAAAATTGGAAGAAGTGTTGTTAGACCAAAAAGGGAGAAAATGTACCATAATTCCAGCTTGATGCAATTACTCTGACAAGAATTTAAAATAAAATTAAAGTTAACAGCTTAAACTGATGTTTGAGGGTTTTAAAAAGATTTAGTTTCCCTTGGAACTCCTACGTTATTTGATCCAGTATAATCTCAGTGTGCGCTACTCATAATTCCTTTTCCTGAGTGCCATAAGCACTAGATTGTGTCCACCGGTTGTTACAAATGTCTAAAAATCATAAAATTATTAAACCTAGATTAAAGCGCTCAGTAAATCCGGTGTTATTTTAGTCTCCTGCCATATCCTACATTCACTACTAAATGGTTCTGTTGGCCTGCAAGAAACCGTCATAAAGCAACTATGTAAGGAGGTGTTTTGGGTTTGTTTCAGGGCAACATGAGCCAAGTTAACATGGCAACCAAAATATGTAACAGAAACATTTAAATGTTTTTCATAACTGGAACCCTTGTAACTCCATGAGCACATGTTGGCTTCTGGGCAGAGAGCTAACTAGAGATTTTGTGTGCATATTCTGCTACTTCATCCCACAATTGTATGTATGAAAATTTAACTATCCCGAGCATGAAGCAACATATTTTTAAGGTCATATTCGAATAGGCTTACTCATGTTGCATGGCAACCAAGCCCCACTCAAGTCTTGTTGATTTAGGCATTTGTCATGGATGATACTCAGAAAGAAACCACGGAGATAAAGTGATGCCTTTGATCTTCTTAGCGAGGCTGTAGAATGTCCAACTTTCTCTGACTAGTTTTTATTTTCCAAATAAAGTTATATTAGTTATATTGACCCAAAGTTTTCATTTATTTTGTCCAGTATTGCTTCAACCCTCAACCCCTTAAGCAGCTTCCCCTTCACCAAAGAGAGAAACAATGAAAGATGAGTTGCTCAAAGTGCAGGAGTTCCTATAAAGCCAGGGTAGAATCTTCTCCACCAATATTACTAATATCAGCCAACTCTACAAAGCACAGGAGCCACTTAGCCATTGGACTGGAGTAGAATTCCCGTTCTTTATTATTTTAGATGGAAGTTTCAGACAGATGTGGAGAATTCCAAGAAGTGCTCTGATGCCCTTTTGTGGATGCTCTACAGTTGAACATTTTACTGATGGTCTCAATTGTTTCTAATGCAGCAGTTCTATAGGCTAGAGCAGTACCATTAGTTCCTACTACAGATGGGATAACTCGGGTGGATCTGAGACATGGTGACTTCCTTAAAGCCTTCATGGGCCATGAGATTTAAATTGGAGTCTCCCCTCATTTCATATAATGCTATTCTAGTTCGTGCAGAAGTATTTTCCCTATCAGTCGTACCCCTATGGTAGATGAAAACCAGTATTCTATTACTTTTCTCAAGTGAGCAAAATTTAAAGGAAGTATAGAGCCTTATATCATATATATAAGTATAAGTATATAGAGTATAGTAAGTGGTGCAGTGGCCTAGAGGTGAAGACACTACCTCCCACTCAGAAGGTTGAGAGTTTAGTCCTAGGTAGTGGCAGATGTTTCTCTCTAAGGGCGCAAAAAAACCTCTGCTGTGAACTCCATGTAGGTGTCAGGAAGGGCATCTGGCCAGTAAACGCTCAGCTCCATTCACTTGTCCTGACTTCACCCTGAAGCAAGGAATTGCAGGGTCACAAAAAAAAAAAAAAAAAAAAAAGAGCTATAGTTACAGTATTCGCATCAAGGAAGGAAGCCTTAATTTCTGGAGTTATCACTATTAGGAGCATGTAAAGCGAGATCAAGAAATAGATCTGAAATAAATCTTCAATTCAGCCTCCTGCCTCCATAAACTATTTGCAGCAACCATATTGCATTTGCAGTATGCACTAACTGTTAAGAGAGCTGATCTGATGTAATGGTTTAAAGTGTGGCACTAGGAGCAGAGAGACCAAAGTTCTAGTTCTCCCTTGGGCAAATCGCTCCCATTCAGCCCAAATCAACAGCAGGCTCTAGGATAAGCTGGCTGATAAACAAACCCTTTATTGCATCATGCATCAATAGCAAGTGCACTGTTCAAAATAGGAGGAGAAATGATAACCGCCCCATGTCTAGTATTTGTTAGATTCCTAGATCTTAATGGTTGATGGTTAAGCAAAATTCCTTTGAAAGGTGATGCTGAAAAGTTTCTTGGAGTCTTTGCCCTGGATTTCAGTACTGTACATGCCTGCAAATTAGTCAGGTCAGTGTCTTCATTCACTTCAGTGAAGAGACCAGCTTTAAATTGGACACTGTTAGTCTTGTCATACCATAAATTGTAATTATAGTGTAAGCAATGGAACTGCACATACTGATAGGAGGACACTGAGGAGTTCTGTTCCTCAACTGTGTAAGGAGCAGATCTCAGGTTCAGTAAGGCTGCTAATCAATGCTGGGTTAGATGCTGATTTGGTGAAGACTATGACCTATTTGACATATCTTATTTTAGAGCACTAGATACTACACAGAGTCCCACGTCATTCACCTCTTGTATCTTTTGAGGACAATCTAACATGATTTCTTTTAAAATGGCACAGTTTTCTTAAAAAGAAAAACATGTTTAGTCCTTCTGGAAAAAACAAACAAACAAACAAAAATTCCTTTCTGTGCTTGGCTTTGAGCAGCAAACACAACGTATAGTGTAATCGACTAACATTTCCAAGTGGCATTCACAGGTTTGCAGCTGGTAGTTAACATCATGATTGATTAATCTCTTTAGATATTATTAGTACAATGAATTTTTATTATTTTCCACCATTTTATTTTGCATTAATATTTCAGAGCTCACCTGTAAAAAAAAAAAGAAGTTAGATTTATGTCCATTTGCTCTTTTTAAAAAAGTTTCATCTTGTGTTTTTTTTAAAAAAACGTAGTTAATTGTAGCTAGTTTTTAATAAATAATATAAAAGTGCTGAGTGATATTTTGTGGAACTGTTCCTGCATAGTTTTTTAAATTATTTATTTATCTATTAACTAGCTGGATACTGGTGCTTCGCTACGAAACTATGTGATGGGGTTGATAAATCGACACTTACAGCTTGGCAATTAATGAGTAGTTATGATTGGCCTCTCGTCTCCCCTTCTCTACCTCAGGCTTGCTCCACAGAAACATCTCCTATCCTATCCCCTTCTCTCCCTCAGCCTTGCCACACACAGGCCTCTTCTATCCTATCCCCTTCTCTCCCTCAGCCTTGCCCCACAGAAGCCTCCCCTATTCTATCCCCTGGTTGCTACCGCAAAAGTGAAACTGAAAGTAAAACTCCTCTCCTCTGCTTGTGTTTTGCATTTGGAACAGATTTCTTTGCAGGTGGGGTGGGGGAGTAGAACTCCTTAGCATCAGAGGGCTGTTTGGAAAATGAAACAGTATTTGCTGTCTGAGCAAGAAGGAGACAGGAAGGAGCTTGGCCGTGACTTAGCTCAAGTGTTCTGTATTAAAGTTGCTTCCTGCTGTGAAAGTAAAACTGAAAGTGAAACTCCTCTGTTTGTATTTTGCATTTGGAATAGATTTCTTTTCAGGTGGGAAGGGGGAGTAGAACTCCTTAGCATCAGACGTGTTAATAATAATATAAGAAATACTAATGCTCTGATGGTCATTTCAAAAAATCCTTTCTTAGTGAGCACCTAGAAGCCAAGAGGAATATACATGGCAAATTTCAAGTTTGTAGGCTTTACAGTTCTGGAGATTTCGTGATTAGGGCATGAGTGGGTTTTGCTTTTATATATATAGATTTGTGCCTGCCTCTATCATTTTTACAAATAATGCAAGGTGATGAATATATCCAACACACTTTCCTCCCATTTCCTCACAACAACAACCTTGTGAGGAGGGTTGGGCTGAGAGGGAGTGACTGGCCCAAAGTCACCATGCTGCCTTTCATGGCTAAAGTGGGATTTAAATCCACAGTATCCTGGTTTCTAGTCTGGTGCCTTAAGCACTAAACCAAACAGGCTATATAATATTGAATACTAGCTACATGGTTGCTGCTAATATACTTCAGTCACTCAAATCTCTCATGAATCCTTTATATTTTTGTAATTTCCTGTTCTTTGTTCTCAGTGTCTTAAAGGCTGTCTGTGCACTTCATAAAAGGAAACATCACTTGTTCTTCTTGATCTTGTTGGCATAGGTTCACATCCATCGTTCTCTGGCTTATTCCTCCAGCACTAAACGTCTCCATACAAACAATTGGTTTATTAGCCATAAAAATGTGAAAGTGCCCATGAAGAGTACAACGGTTGAGCAGTTACTCAAAGAAATAGCTTGCTCAAGAAATCTGTTCCCACATCAAGCCCTCCTTCACAGATGTGGGTACATCATATTGTAGCTCTACACTTAATTGCTCAACTCTTGATGTTTTCCAGCTTTAAAACGTTTCAACTGGCTCTCTGGAAAATATTAATAATGGGCGAAAACATAGTTTTGTCTGGAATAACTTGCTCTTCTCTGGATCTGTTTAGGAGGCACAGAAACAGGTGCATGTGAACCAACCCTAATGTGAAAAACCAGCGGAGGATTCTTTCTACTCAGTGCACACAGTATTATCCCTGGCTCCGTGCAGTCAGCAAATATCTCAGATCTAACATGGACAGTGACAGACAATGGCAGTGGTCACTATTGTAACATCATGTAAGCTCTTGGGATCTTGGGGAAACATAATTGGAAATCTGTACTTTTTTCCAGGGTTTGGAAGTTAGATAGCATATACATTTAATATGTTAGGACTACTACTACTACTGCTACTGCTACTACTGCTACTGCTATGACATGGTTCCTTGGATTATATCCTTTCTCCCAGTACAATTTTGTTGCAGAAACAGGTAAAGGTAAAGGTAAAGTTTCCCCTCACAAATGTGTGCTAGTTGTTCCCGACTCTAGGGGGCGGTGCTCATCTCTGTTTCAAAGCCGAAGAGCCAGCGCTGTCCGAAGACGTCTCTGTGGTCATGTGGCCAGCATAACAAAAGGTCAAAGGTGCATGGAACACTGTTACCTTCCCACCAAAGGTGGTCCCTATTTTTCTACTTGCATTTTTAACGTGCTTCCAAACTGCTAGGTTGGCAGAAGCTGGGACAAGTAACGAGAGCTCACCCCGTTACCCAGTACTAGGAATTTGAACCGCTGAACTGCCAACTTTTCAATCGATAAGCTCAGCGACTTAGCCACTGAGAAATCACATCCCTTCCGCAGAAACAGGTAGAGACCTGAAAATGAAAATAACCTTGAAATAGTGTGCATATACCTGCTCAGGTGCTGGTGTCCCATCATCTACTGCTTTCTGGGTAGTGATCTAAGGGACTTTAATCCACAGGCTCTGATTCTGTGATTTTTCTGATTCTGATTCTCTGGTTCTTCCTTAATATACCCCAGCTGTTTATTTACTGCAAAGATTTGTATGGTGCCTATGCATATGATACATATCAAGAGTTTCGTCTCCTCAAGTCTTCTGCTTTCTTCTTCCCTGCCTGCTTTAGAGATTAAAATATCTAAGCAAAGCAGGAAATAGAATGTGAAATTTACGGCCTTTGAAAAGAGTGTCCTTAGATTGGAGCCTGATCACTGGAGATGTGTAATTTTCTGGCACTCAGTAAATGGGGAGAGAATCATAGGACTTACAGTACTCATTATAACTAGTAAAACCAGAATATTTAAAAAAAAAATGATAGGAATTTTTGGAGGTTTTATGGTGCCAGAACCAGGATATCCACTGAATACTTTGGACCAATCAGTTTTAAGGTCCTTCCTTTACTGCACCACTGCAAATGTTACAGATTTTTTAAATAAAATAATTCAGTTTCCAAATTGAACATAGAAAATTATAACTTTTCATTATTTTGTGGGGAATAAGATCAAGAAAAGAAAAGCATAGGCTCAGGTTGTATATAGGTTCGTAGACGTGATGTTCCATGATGGCTACAATGAAAAAAAAAACAAAAAACAGTTCCTATCAATGATTATCTAGATGTTGAAACTCAAACTGTCTGTTACTTAATGCCATTATATAGCTCAATGGCATGGAACATTCATGGTATACAAGGTCTAGTTCTGACAACCACATTTAAAAACAAGGATGCCAGAGAGTTGGAGAAGGTGCCAGAAAGTGATCAAGAGGAAACAGCTACTCATCCCTGGTTAGAAAGTGTTATGGTGTTTGCAAATTTTTAGGTGAGGAAAATCACATAAAAAAAAAAAAAGATGTCAAAAAAAATTCTGATTACACTAGAGGTGAAGGGAACACAGAGAGAAAGGAACAGAGAAAGAGAAGCTTTGCTCATAAGCAATTTATGAAGATCCAGGGCAGATTAAAGAAAATTATGAGTTCACACAATTCACACTCAAACCGTATTGTCACCAAATGCAGTGAAGGCAAAGATCATGGAGACCTTGAAAAGAATCAAATAACTTCGTGGACTGTAAAGGCAATCAGTGACTCTTAACTGTTCTTAACAGATCCTGGTGATCAGATGTATGTCTGTGAATATTGACTTCAGGGAAACAGCAACAAAAGCAGGATGCTGCCCTCATATCCTAAATATCTGGTTGACTACATGATTAACAGGTCTTGAGAAAAGATTTATGCCTGTATTTTTAATATGACTACTACGTTTTTATAAACGAAATGTCACTTTCATCCATCCC